AACAACTGGTTTTTTTTTCTGACTTAAGTTGCAGTAGGTTTTAAAAATTAAATGATGAATTAAATCTGAATGAAGACAGAAAACTTTACAATAATACTAAAGAAAAAGCAAATTAGGCTGCATGCAAAGCTCAATATCATAAGAAAATTGTTTTTTTGTTCATTAAGTTTAACTGCTGCATAATATAGTTTGCTAAAAAACATTGTAATTTCTTTAAAAAGACTAAAAGGTCTCTCATAGTATATACGTTCTGAATAGAGAGAATAGAATTACTGCATGAACCAAAAAAAATCATATTTAAAAAATAAGAAAAAAAGAAGGGTTAGATTATTTATTTAGTTATATATCTATTTTACATTTATACACAAAAGGTCCCTAGTTGAGAGATGTAACAGAATGCTTTTTTATAAACCCATTTTAATAGAAACATTATATTTGCCAATATACTTTTTTGTGAAACAAGATTGCTAAATCAATGATATGAATCTTTTTTTGATACATATATAAAATTTTTAATTTTATTATCATGTGACTCATTATCATGTGACTCTTTTACTTTGATCTTATATTCTATTAAAGTATAAGTGTTTTTCGTAACAATGCACAATAATTCAACAACACTACACATATATAACTTTAAAATTCTATTAAGAAAAGTAAAGTATAATTTATAATGAAATTTGACAATAGATTATTTATACAATAATAATGGACAATTATTTATACAAGTATTTATACAATAATAATGAACATAAATTATATTATGTCATAATTTATGGTTGAACTATAATGGATATAAGATATGTCTAAATGCGTAAGAGTTCGGCGCTACTGCAGTTTCTCCCTCCCCCCCCCCCCCCATTTTTTATTGCTGATTATGATATGCTGATTAAGAATCTTATAAAAACATAGGTCTGAAAATCAACAGAAAGTCATTATAGTTAACATTTTGAAATCGATCGTTAAGAAAATCTTTTCTTAATTAGGCAACCCGGTTTTTATTGTCATCAAAGTTAATTTATAATTGAATTAAATGTTTTAATGCTTTTATATAACTTTATTTTTTTTTAAATGAATTCAAATATTGCTTTTTAAATGTACTTAAATCAACTGAAAAATAGGGATTGACGCAATTAAATGTACACTCATCGACTGAAAAATAGGGATTGGGCAATTGAATGTACAAACATCGACTGACAAATAGGGATTAACACAACTAAATGCACATACATCGACTGACAAATAGGGATTGGCTCGATTAAACGTACATGATTTGGGACAGGGTTTGGGTTTGGGCAAGGGATAAATCAGAAAATGATGCGCTGAGGATTTTTTAACAGTTTTGATTAAAATGTTGATAGAAACCAGGCTTTTTTAAAATCGTCTTTGAAAAGAATTTTAATATAACCGAGAATAAAAAAAATGGCGAATATTAGCGTTTTTTAGTGTAATTTTTTAAACTTCAAAATCAAATTAGAGCACTTTCTGTTAATTTTCAGACCTATGTTTTTATACGATTCTTAATCAGCATAAAATTATCTATCATAATCAGCAATAAAAAAGAGGGGAGGGGGGGGAGAAACTGCAGTAGCGCCTGAGAGTTCAATAATTTATAAAAAAATTTAATCAGGAAAATGAATTCCTTATTATTCAAATTATTAATAACGTGTGGAATTGAATTATATTGTAACTCTATTATTTGACAATTCTGAATCTCACTGTAATTTACATAAGCTATATAAATTACAGTGTAATTTATGCATGTTATAAATTACAGTGTAGTTTATATAATTTATGTAAATTACAGTGAGACATAGGGACAGAAATAAGAATTTACTAGACAACCCTAAATCTCACTGTAATTAACAGTGAGATCATTTTTAACGTCCAGTAATAGAACATATTTTAGTATAGTTTAAGTTATAAAAATAAATTATGCTTATTTATTTTTATTTTCGACATTTAATAAACTCTATATATGATTTATAAATCTTATAATTTAGTAAAGTTTAAATCGGTTATAGCCTATTGTCAATTGAGATTCATAAATTTTAACTCATTATTTCAGTTATAAAAGAAAACAAATAAATCATAATATAACAAAATATTAGTTGCATTTTAACAAATAAAATTAAAACAAAATTAAAAGTTGTTACTAATAGCTCATTTTCCTTAAAGTATAGTTAATGTTTTAAAATAAAACATTTAAATAATCGATTAGAAAAGTTCATATTTTCAGAATACTCAATAAAATTTTTGTTGAAACGCATGTGCATGTTTAACCGATATAGCGTTTGTTTATTATTTTTCGAATTGTTTAGAAGGGTCAAAATTTACTTTTACCAAAAATGGGAGCCACCGTTTAAATTGGGAGCCATCGTTTACGGAAAAAAAGATCGCGTCGTCGCATTGCTTATACTCAGCGTTTCTCGTGCGACGAGGAGGTTGTATACTACCTTCCCATATTTTCCTTGGCTTCGATGCATTTTTGCTTGTGCAAATAGTTCTTTTTGGATTCTCATGGTTTCTTCACTAAAGTCTTCATTAATGAAAATATTTTTTCCCTTTACATTTTTTGCCCTAGATAGAACGTTTTCTTTTTCCTGCCAGTTTAATAATTTGCAAATAATTGTCATCGGCTTGTTTTCAAATTTTCCAACCTGATGAGCTCTTTCAATGATTATTGGTTTTTATTTATTTGGAGGTCCTCTTTAATAAGCGATTTAAGTTTTTTTTAAACATCATCATATGTTTCATTGGGTCCCTCTTCAACACCCACAATTCGCAAATTGTTTCGGCGATTGCGATCTTCCAAGTCGACTGTTTTTCTTTTAATCTCGGTCAATTCGCTCACTAATTTGTCTTTAAATGATTTTATTCCGATTAACGAAGTTTTAATTTCGTCCATTTTTTTGTCAACTTTACTTATCTTTGTCTCAAGTTGATCACTGTTAAAATTTAGGCCACGTTTAAGGTCTTCAACATCTTTTTCTAAGTTATCAACTTTTTCTTGAAAGCATCTGAAAGTATCATTAAAACACTTTCAAATTGTGTCAGATTGACTTGACATCAATTACCTTAGCATTCCTATAGTAACTACTCTTTCATTTTCCATTACAATAATCAAAAAATAAAAGTAGTCAAATATATAAAAAAAAATAACTTTCTAACTTTCTTCGTAAACACGTGTGCTCCGTTCAATGCTAAAAACTTGAGCATTTTACCATGTGCTTTTTATAAAACACCCTTTACCACGTGCCTGCTATAAAATTAATATTGTTAACTGTTTTATAAAACTTACATAAATACTAATTAAAAAAATTAGATAAGTTCATCTTATGTCATTTATTATAAAACTAAATCGGAACTTAAGAGGCCAAAATATTTTGCAAAAGAAAGAATTCAACTTTTTAGTCATTACTATCCAAGAGTTTCTAAAATCGGCCGAGGCGCAGAGCAGCCGTGGCGTAGTGGTTACAGCGCTTGCCTTATAAGCAGGAGATCCAGGTTCAAAACGAACTCTGGACATATTTTTGCGTCACGGTAAGGAAGGAGGCGTGAACTTTCTGGTTAATGCACTTCCGCGGTGCTCTCTGACAAGACCATTAGGTATTTTTGGGGCACCTAAATAACAAAATTAAAAAAAAAATTTAAATCGGGAACAGTAAAGATAATATTTATATATATATATATATATATATATATATATATATATATATATATATATATATATATATATATATATATATATATATATATATATATATATATATATATATATATATATATTGTGTATCTTTTTAAGATATTCTTTCATTGCTTCCTACTTGTTTTTTTTTAATGATTTTTTTGAACATTTTTTAAATAGATTTTATTGTATTTTTATATTGCATGATTATATTATTATTAGTTTGTACATGATTATTTTTTGTATTGGTCTTTTTATCACCGTTATAGGTATTTAATTAAAAAAAGAACTTAAAACACTGTTATCTCGTAAAATTAAGTTTTTAAATGATAAAAGTGCTCCAAGTTCGTAAAACATATAAAAAGCTTTCTTACCATCAAATATACAAACAGTATTTTGAGTAGCTTTCATTGAGCAATTCAAACAGAAGGTTTTAAAGATGATGATTATTTATCATAATCAATTACAAATAAGACTTGGCTGAATAACTCGTCATTGAGCTAAATCTCATTTGTTTACTGTATCTGTCCTTGTGCATGCTCTAAAAACTGTTATTTGTCTAGCTTTTTTCCTCGCACTCCAACCCTTTGGAATTCTCTCCCATCTTCGTGTTTTCCTTATTCATACAACCTTCAACTTTTCAAGTCTTCTGTCAACCGTTTTCTTGGTTTACTCTATTCTTTTTTTCTAGTATCTCCCAACTTAAGAGTGGTTGCTTGTTGGGAGTGAACCAGAATAAAAAAAATTAAAATCCAAACTGCTATCAACAATGACTGAAGAATGCTTTACTAAACTTGAGGTTATTTTCAATTGAACACAGCCTTGTCAGGACTTTATTGTATGAAGATGTCAATTTTAGTTTTGCGATGAAGAAATATACACAGGAAGCCAAAATTTTAAGCACCGACCAATCAATTATACTCTGTACGAGCCTGAGTATAATTGATTTCAAAATGTAGCTGAACACAGAACAAACAATTTAGTAGCGAAAACTTGCAGTTTTTGTTTTGTAATTAGTTTAATGAGATTTCAGAATAAAGTTCAACCAAAGCATTTGAAATTAATTTTTTTTAATTAGATTTTCTCTCCACTATTTAGAAAAGCACTTAAAACAATGTATTGCCAACATTTTTTGCTAGCGCATTAATAAGTGAATATCTTTTAGAAGGGAGAAATCCTAAGTTGCTTAATCAAATGTTTATGAACATCGTAAAAATTCGCTCACATTCGCTTCCACTTTACTTACTCTTAATTTTTTATATAGACTGAAAACAAGTAAACCAATTTTTGTTTAATATAATTAGATTAAATGAAGCAAAATATTTAAAAAAATCCGTTACAGTAAAAATATACAATAATTTTTATAAAACTTGTAGAAATAACATTATACATTTATATACATATATACCAATTTAATATTATCTTAAATTATGAAAGACACAGTGTATGTCTTTTACTAATTTTGCAGATTTATTCAATAGTTATAAATAATTTGAGAACTAAATATCTTCTTTCAAAAAATTAAACTTTCGCTCATTTTTCATTAGGTACACATTTGATAGATTCTGAAATTAAGATTTGATTTCACTCACTTCTTGATCTTTTGAAGTTGTTGCTTCGCTCTTTTAACATTTTCACTCATTTTATGATGACGTTCTTTCTGTTTGTCTAAAAAGGTCGATGCTAATTGATCGTTCGGGCGTCGGTTATTCAATACTAAAATAAATCGTTTTCATTTTTATTATCATTGTGTTATGTAATGTTAAATAAAACTACGCAATAAATAATATTTTTTATAATACTAGGTAAAAATTGTTTATACAATAAATACATCAACAAAAAAAAGTAAAATAACAACAACCAATAATAAAAAAGCAGCAACAAAATATAAGCAAAAAATAACATAAAAACATTTAACACTAATGCTCAATGAGATTATAACAAGAGCTGAATACAATATAATATTAATTATATAAAATCAAAGCCAACAAATGAAATACCAACACCATTACTTAAGTCAACTAAAGTATAACAATTGCCGGTACCAATACAAAAATAGCAAAAACAAATATAACAACAGGTATAAATATATTAAATATAACAAAAACCAACAACAATAAAACAACAGCAATAACACAAACAAATATATATATATATATATATATATTATTAGCTGAAACAAAATTTCTAATAAATTACCAATAATAATACAATTATTATCATTATCCTGATCATCATGATCACAACTATGATCACTTCTCGAATAAGAAATGTTTTTTGCAAACAGTTCAGCGTTATCCTTGGGAGAGGTAATAAGATCATTCTCGTGAATGAGAAATGGAATGTTAGACTTTCCTTTGTTAACAACGCTGTTGAAGATTTTCTCAAAGTTTCAAACTTCTGAGATAAGATACAAGATTTAGTGAAGTGAGAATAATGGAGCTTAGCATCTGACAGCACCTTTTTAGATCGATTTCTTGCAATAATAAATAGCTGTTTGTTTTCAAGAGAGTTGTTCCTTTGAAAAAGATGAAAAAAATGATTACGATTAGATATAGCAGCTGCACAAGAGGGTAAAAACCATGTAGTAGAATGAGGCTTGACTTAGAACCGACAAGAAGAAATAAAAGCATCCATTTCTGCCTGAATCCAGAAAATTACGTAGGAGGCGTGTAGGAATTCAATTGAGATTCTTTTCGTGATTTTCTTTGTGACAAGGACCGTCACAAAGAAAATCACGAAAAGAATCCCAATCAGCTTTAGGATAGTAAGTAGTGCGATGACAGGGTGAGTCCGAAAATGAAGTATGAGATGAAAGATTTAAAGAGATCATTGCATGGTTAGAACCACCTAAGGGAGAAAAAGGAGAAACTGAACACAACCTAGGATCAGAGACCAGACATAAATCAATGAAGGTAAATGATTGGAGTTGTCAGGAAAACGAGTCACAAAGTTAACTATCTGTGTAAGAGATTGAGAAATGCAGAAGTTATAGACTTTAGTGCCATGAGGATCAGTGGCGTTAGAGCTAAGCCATTCAGTATGATGAGCATTAAAATCATTAATGATAACAATATTGACAGAGGGGTAAAGAGAGAGCGCATGGTTAATTTGATGAGAAATTACTTCTAAAATAGTGCAGTTTTGGAAAGAAGGAAAACGATAAAGAACAAAGAGAAAGGAGATAGAGGAAAGAGGTGCTAAACAGAAGCACCTAAAGGATTGGTCAAAGGATTCGAGCCTGATTTAATGACAAATAACTGAATTGATGCGTATGTATACCCCTAATCCAAGCATGTAAATAATGGAGTCTTTGTGAATCAAAGGATAAGTACCCATCAACATTAAGATCAGAAGGAATAGAATTTAGATTAGTCTCACTAAGAGCAAGCAAGTCTGGTGAATTTTGAGAGAGGTAAAATTCAACTGATGGAAGATTGCTTTGCAGACCACGAGTATTAGTAAAAGATATAATAAAACAGTTAGGTGATGGGGATGGTTTTTTATGTTTAATATTTTGATTTACTTTTAAAGAGAACTTGACTCATTTATAGATAGAGCATGGCCTCCCAAGCAATGAGCTATGCAATTTTCTCAGTCCTGTTAATTAACTCTAAGTCGTAACATAGGGCTCCTTATGTGGCCTCGACAACATGTACCAAAAGCATTAACAGGGACACCATCCACGCGCAACATGGTACTGTTAATACTCTGATATTTTACAGCTGTTGATGGAACCAGCTAGAGCTATCACAGAGCTAAGGAAACCGTTCTACCAGCTGGCCTCAGAACCATTAAACTGAGTTTTAGAGCTGTTTCAAAAACCTTGTTTCAAAACTGAAAACATTGATTTCAAGTGACTATGTTTAAAAAAAAAATTAGTTATTTATGTTGGTAAAATTAAAACCATCTTTTTAAAATAAGTTTTTTTTAACAAGAAAAGAACAACAACAATACTTTTATTTAATCTACCAACAACTACTCATATTTCTAAAGCATTTCTTAAAAATATTTTTGTAAAATTACCCAGAGAATTATTTTGTGAATATATATATATATATATATATATATATATATATATATATATATATATATATATATATATATATATATATATACACACATTTTATCATATAAATATTACCTTTAACACAATCACCAATTAAAGGGGCAACACATAAGTTCATTTCAATTTGAGGAACAGAGCCAAAGGCTCCCTGCACAGAATCATGGTGTAAACCTGGTAAATCCTGTAGACCATAAAAAACTTCGCCTGATAAGTCATCATCAAGTCGATCTTTATCATAAATAGTAAACAAAAGAGTTGCACCATTTTTCAAGCAATCAGGGTGTGGAATATCACTGAAAAAAAATTTACAGTAACAAAGTTAAAAAAATGTAGTAAAGCAGTAAAAAAAGTTAAAAAAATTATAACTATTTCATAAAAATATTGTATCGTGTTATTGTATTGTGTAAATATTATGTTAACAAAAAATAATAACTATCGCATACAATTGAAAACTTTCATCGAACAATGGAAATAATGTGCTCTTTTGAATACTTGTACTTTTTGTAGACTGCTTAGGAAACAAATGATCTGGCTTTAACTGCAAAACCACATATGGATCAGAGTAACCTATGACATTTTAAAAGATTGTTTTAAAAATTATTTTCAAAAGTTACAGTAAATACAAAAATATGTATTTAAAAATACCACTTGTATCCATAGGTAACAACTTTTTACAGTTCATCACTAAAATGAAATAACATAAAAATTAAAAAAAAACTAAATAACTTAGTGTAAATGTTAGTCAGAAAAAATAAAATTTGAGTACTCAGTGTCGTTAAGGCAACTTTAAAATATCATAGTGTCTGTATGATATTTTGTTGACTACAACATATTTCCCTTAAATGGTTAGGTCTGTGAATTTTGAAAAGATGAAAAAAATTAAAATTTGTTTGTAGCAAAAAAACCCTGACCAAAGATTCTTTTTTTTTTTTTTTTTAAATCTTCTTAAAATCAAAATAGCTTGTCCAAACTTGAATAAGATTTTAAATAAATGCATTTTTTAGGTGAAATGAACATTGCAGTTTAATAATATGATCTATTCTGATCGTTTATTGGCAATTTTTCTTAATTATAAACTCTTTCTTGGTCGGATTTCTAGTATTTTTTGTGAAAATTGATAGAATTATTGTATTTTGACAACTATATATAGTTAATACACTTCAGAGCTGATTAGAACTAGGATTTATAGTGGGTTTCAAAATGCACTTTTTCAAAAGATTCAAACTAAATTCATGTTAACGCTGATGAGCGAAATTAATCTAAAGACTCCATAATGGTGTTCTTTAGATTCACTATTACGGGTGGTAAAGAGGTTTTGAAAATTATATAAGAAAAAGAAAAGTTTTTTTAAATATTAAAAAAAATCTGAATTATAACAGAAAAGAATAATAACATCTAAAGCTCTTGTTTTGGACATAATATGCTGAGAAAATCATGCTAATTTGAAATAAAAGAAATTGAATAATTTGTAAATAGCCTTAACTACACGGAATAGCCAATTGATTAGATGTTGTAACAAGCTTTTAAATAGACAACCACTTGAAATATATATTTTTTGTATGATACTTTGACACAGCAAAAAAAGGTAAACAGGTTTTGCGACTTTTATTGCTTTAATGTCCAACTTGGACATTAAAGCAGTAAAAGTGTTTACCAAGTATTTACCTTGTGCCAATAATTGAATAATATTGAATAGTCTATTTTTAGTTCAACCACATTTAAAAATTCAAAAAAAAAAAAAAAAATTATATTAATGAATAACTATGGGGAAATTTTGAAATGTAAAAAGAGTTAAATACTTATATTATTTTATTGAATTAAAATTATTCTGTGCACATGTTGATGCAAAAGCAGGCTTCACATGCCCATACATAACAAAAAATGCATTAAAGCCAGACTGCTGAAGAATCCACCTGTGATACACCGCACATACACCAATGAGTTGGTTTTTTGCTACTTCTATTATTAGCTTTTGATATACTTGGTTGTATTCAATTTGATAATGATTACAAACTATGGGATAAGAATTTCCTCATCTTTGAGCCACTTTTTTTTTTTTTTGATTGGATGAAAACTTCCTTTTTTTCAAGCCACTTTGTAATTTTGGATAGGAAAACATATCTAGAGATTTTTTATACTATAGATTATTATTTTTTTCATATTTCTTTTTGCTTTAGCTTTTCATTGTTTTAAGTGCTTATGTATGCATTGTTCTTAATAACAGAAAACTTGGATTTCTTTAATGAAAATAGTTACTATCGCTAAACAACTTCTCTTTTTTATATTTGTGTTTCTTTACAGTGTTACAAAGAGGGTACAGAGTACAGTCTACAATACACATCTACAATAAATCCTGTTTTTGCTACTATCTTTTTCCATACACTGTTAAAAACAATATTTTACATGGACAAAAACCTACCTAAAATATCTTTTAACAAACTTATGAATCTCTAACCTTATTTGATTAATTTTAATTACTTATCCGTTATTCTCAAATGTAGTTTCAATCAATTTTACGAATTTTATAATAATGCCACCTGGAGCAAGAGAAACATGACAATTTTAATTAATATCATTAAAAGCAAATCATTTTTAAAAGTTATAACAACCAATCAAATAAGATAGCAATAGTTTGAAGGTTTTGAAATTTAAAATATTAAACATCTTATATGGTGGTATTTCAAAATAACCTCTTTTTTCTTGTAATATCAAAAGTGGTGAAATCACCCCTATGGCAAATTTGCCACAGTCTACTCTAAAAATATAAAATAGAAAAAAAAAAGAAAATAAAAAATAGGGTTGATTTATACTTATACTTTTTATTAAAATATAAATATTAAAACTATATATTATTTGACTTTTAAAAATTACGCTAATTTAACTTTAAAATAGCATATCCAATGAAGAAGTCGCAACTTCTTATATAAAGGATTTCATTTTTTTTAATACCGATTTTAAAATAAATAAACAGAAAAAAATGTTTTTTTAAAGAGTTTAAGTTGATAGTAAAATCAATTAATTAATTGCTAGCAATTAAGAATCTGAATTTATGATAGCAAACAAAATGCAAAGATTAGTATGCAAGCATGTTGAAAAATAAAGAACACATATTACCAATTCTGAAGCTTGAAAAATGTTTTAACTTATTTAGTTTATTTGATAGGATAAACTAGTTATCTGATAAAATAAACTAGTTACCTGATAAAATAAACTAGTTACCTGATAAGATTGACTAGTTATCTTATAGGACAAACTAGTTATTGATGCTAAAACTCTTCTAAATACCTTCTGTTTTTAAAATAAGCTTGAGTAATTGTATTAGTTGTGGGATTGTGTCCAAAAAAAGCTAATAAAAAAGTTAATTTGGAAGAAAACTTTAACTTTTGTTTTGCAAATATTTTATTTGTAAGCTGCAATCAATAATTGTTATGTGCCAATGTCAATTTGATATAATGTTGCTATGTTGCTATGGAAATCTATGTTTATATAATGTTAAATGTGTACTAATGTTACGTTAAAACGACATAAACACAAAAAAAATTCTTACCATTAAAAGACAATACACAAGACAAATGATAAGTAAGGTAGCAAGACAAAGCATAATATAAACAAGACAATGCACAATATAATTAATAAAAAGTAGTGATAATTCTGCAAACTCTAAACAACACCAAAAATGCATCTGATAGTATTATAGCAAAAATGAAAAAAGAATTACATGTTTATACTACAATAATATTTTAACAAACAACATTAGAATGTTGTCCAGCAGAGGAAAGCATCTTGAACAAATTCATCAAGCTTTGTTAACAATAAAACTAACAAGTAAAACAAAAAAAAGTTTTTTTATAAGTTGGTATTATGTTTGAAATTAAAGTTAAAGCTTAGTTATTTAAAGTTAAGTTATTTGAAAATAATTTTTTTAAGTATGTAGTTATTTAAAAGCAAAATCCATTGTTTTTGTTTTATTATACATCTAAATTATTTCATTATTGATATATAATCATTAAATTATATTAAAGTCTAAACTTGGTTAAATTTTAAGTGAAGCTATAAAATTTCAACCGAAAATTAATTTTTAACTTGAATAAAAAAATAATTTTTAGAGTTTTTTGTAATTGTAAAAGATCTGTATGTAATTAGAGCAAGACTTTGAAAAGATTTCTTTTAGGTTTTAAAAAGTTTGATGCAAGTACTAATTTTTTTATTTTCCTTCACATATTATTATATAATAATAATTGATAACTGATAGAAGTTTAACATAGTCTGCATACTATGAAGTGACTTGCTTATTATACAAATGTCATAAGATTCTGATTTTAGGTTGAGACATTTGGGTCAAATTTTGGTTTTTATTGATCTTCGGTAAAACTTTTTATTAATAACTTTAACTGAAACATAACTTTATCAGAAAACGTTATTTGATTAATGACTTTGTTATGCAAAAAGATTTAAAAATGTGTTTTAAAAAAAAATTACTTAAAAAAAAACTGTTACAAAATAATTGATCTACAATATTAAAATGATTGATAACTATTTTAACAAGGTTGTCAAATAATTGACAACCTTGCCAATACTGATTTCAAAATTATATGCACCAGTGGTGGAAATTATATGCACCAGTGGTGGAAATTTTTTTAACTCAAAAATAGTGGGTGTACAAACATTTAAAAACATAAATCATACATAGTCATTAAAAAAACAACCTACCATATATATTTAAAGTCTTTGTACGATTGCAATAAAATATTTTGAAACATATTTGTCCTAAAGATGAGTCAGCAGTTTTCTGAAAATAAAATTTTTTTCAAAGCTTTGTTTTGTAAAGGGGTGAGTTTTTTTCAAAAAAAAAATTAAAAAAAATAATCTCAAAATAACATCAGCTATAATGGTACAATAACATCAGACTTAAATTATAATCAAATATAAAGAAATTTTTATTTTTTACCTGAAACTCACACATGTTAACATAATATTCTTCTATTAACTGTTCTGTACTCGAAGCATTTAAATTTGTTAACTTGATAAGTTTCTATGAAAAAATAAAGTACTGTGTTTATGTAAATTAAATGGTTTAATAAATTTGATTTATAAATTTGAATCTTGAATGAATTTTTTGTAGATTTAAAGCTAAGATTATGGGTATTTTTGCAATTTTAGTAAAAAACTCTATGAACGAAAAAAATGTAAAATTTATGAATTACTAATTTATGTTTGTGTACTCCTAATAACTTATTAGCAAATGGAGCAAATAGTAATATCTTTTAGTAATAAGCAATATCTATAGTATTTACTAAATACTATAGAGCATATTAAATTTAATGGTTTTTACTTTTAGAGCATATTAAATTTAATGGTTTTTACATAAAATTTACTTGATTTTATCATTTTTAAACACAAAGAGTTGTTAAAAGCCATTTTTTATTACAAACTGTAATTTTAAGACCTTTACTATAAGAATATATATATATAGAACCCTAGATAGAATACTAGATCGAAATTCATTGAAAGATGTTAAATTTCATCCTAAAAAAATTTCTCCTTTAAACGTCACCATCATTCACAGTTATTTCAGAGGGGAAAATGAGAGTAACTTTAAACTTTTTATCGTCAGAAGTCCTAAAAGAAGGGAGATTTTTTGATGAAGTTTGAAATCTGTCAATAAATTTTGATTTAATTCGTAATAGAGCTTGAAACAAAATTTATGATCTTATAAGATGTAGATCTAGGAAAAAGACAATTAGGGTTCGGCAATTGGGTTAGGTTAGCTCCAATTGATTTATTTTTTTGAAAGTCTTCCTCTTTTGATACCAGTATCAGCATTTATGGCTCTTAGTTATTTATCTTGAAAAACAATTATTAGGCACTCACCTAAAATACGTGGTTCTTTCCAAGGGCTCCAGTGAAAAAGTTTGTTTTTTACATTTCTGGAATAAGAAAGAGTTTTCTGGTAATAAACAAAATAAAATTTCTGGGTATGTGTTGCGAGGTCTTAGTGCATGTTCCTATGCATTGTGTAAAAGAGTATTTGCAATAATATTATGTATGGCATAAGTATTGATAAGTATAGATAAGTGTATCCTTTGCAGTTGCATAATAATTATAGACCTGTATTTTTTAACATGTGTAGTTTGTAAAGTCATGGAAAAGATAATTAAAGATAAAATAATGAAATATTTAGTAGAAAATAAATTATGCAATAAAAACTAACATGGATTTGTTAATAATAAGTTGTGTAACAAACTTATTGGAATCTCTGGATTTTATCACAAGTTCAATTGATAATGGTTTGGATGTAATAGTTTCGTTTCTAGACATAGCCAACGCAAAAGATTATTGTTAAAACTAAATGCTTTTAGTCTTAAATTAAAATTTTTACACTGGTGCCAGGGATTTTTTAAGAACAGACTTCAAAGAGAAGTGATAGGAAATAATAAATCAGAATGGGAAAAGGTCACGGGTGGAGTACCACAAGGATTAGTACTAGTTACTTTTAGTGTATGATATCTTCAAAAAAATAAAATCAAGCTGTGAACTATTTGCTGATGACACAAAAATCCTTAGAGCAATAAAAAATGATAATTATGATAATTAATGACATTATTGAATTTCGACTTATTAATGGAATGGTCGAATGAATGGTTGATGAAATTCAACCAGCAAAATGTAAAGTTATGATAGTAGGAAATAACTAGCACAAAGTTTTAATGAATAATACAGCTTTAGTTATACAAGCATGGAAAAGAATTTAGGAGTGTACATTTCAGATGATTTGGAATGGAAATAACATGTAAATAAAGAAGTAAATAAAGCAAATCAAAAGCTAAGCAAGATCAAACTCACATCTAGAATTAAAAGTTTTGTTAAGAAGAAATATTAAAAAAGTTGGATTTTATTGCTGGAGAACATAAGAAGAAGAAGAAATGATTTGATACAAATGTTCAAATATTTGAAAGGGTACAATATCATGAAATGTTTACAAAAAACCTGAAACTGAAAAGGCAATATACAGGAAATATAAAACAATAATTTTTTCACCAATAGAGTAGTAAACGACTAGAAACAATAGACGCAGTCAGTATCAACCAATTCAAAATGAAACTGGATGAACATTTTCAAATACTAACTTTTATTATGTTTTTATGTTAGTGTGTTACAGCTGTAACAGTTACAAACTATACGTAGTTTGGACTCATCACTCTTCAAGTGTACAGCACTATTATATATATATATATATATATAT